CCATCACCATCCGGTCCAAATTTTTTTTTTATGTGGAGGTGCACACCCGGGTGTTGGATCCTGGTGTGCACCAATCAAGGTCCAATAAAAGTATATTAGTTATGTGTATCATTTCAGCATTTTGAGTCACATTAGTTGTTTGGATTCATCAATGTGACATACTTGGGGATATTATTGGCGTCAAAGGAATTTGACATTGCTTCTAACATCAATGATATTTGAATTCATTGACGTGTATCACTGTTGAAAAAATATTGCAAGGCATACCCAATTGGAGATTAACTTTCAACAACATAGTGTTGTGTTGCTAATCATCAAGTAAGTACATCTTGGTGGGGTTGACTATTAACCATTCAACACTTTGTTGCAAATCAGTAATTTTGCACTATCACTCATGTGTTAATGTACATTGTTGATATACTTACTTACTAGTGTTCTGCCCTTCTAGTGAAGAACTATGTATAGAAAGAAAAAAAATTTCCAATTGTCATTTATTTACAATATAAAATTATTTGGTCAAACTTTATACAAAACTCAAATTAAGATAATTAAATTTAATTGAAAGAAGTTTTATATTTTATTATGTTTTACAAAGAGATAAAGATTAAAAAATGATTTTTTATTGATATTGTAGAATGGATAATTAAAGTGAAGTGATAACATACTACTTCCAAAGGACTGAAGTTACTCCCTCAATAGCATAATAATGCTCCTTCTCAGATTTTGTTGTCCCACTTTCTAAAATAAGGGTGATCTAATCTCATGTTCTCACTTTTTAGTTTAATAAAATGTTAAATGTTAATATTTTAATTTTACCTATATCTCCAAAGAAATAGAAATGCATTTGGATTTTTTCATTTAATTATAAGTAAAGATGAAAATTGAAAGATAAATTCTAATTATTGTAATAAATGAATTTCTTGATAAAAATGAATAAGCAAAGTGAGACAACTAAATCTAATTAGAAGGAATATATTATTATATTTTACAAAGAGATAAAGATAAAAATATATATATTGATACTGTAGAATGGATAATTAAAGCAAAGAAATAACAACAGAGATAAGCTAAAGTAGGAACATTTTTTTTGTCTCTTACAATAAAATATTGTTATCTAATTCGAAGCTTGCATTGTTACCACTCCTTGATGATATTATATCCCTTTCACGAGTAGGTTTACCCCATCTTTAGGTTCGATGTTCAACCTAAACATCGGAGCAAGCTGATATTTGGGTGAGGTGGAAAATGAGAATTTGGATAGCAAGAGAGACATTACTATCTTCAGCTCAATCATGGGAAGGTGTTGTCCTACACAAACATAAGACCTAGTGCTGAAAGGCATGTAGATCGAGTTCCAGAACCTTACAAGCTCTTGCTACTTCTTTTGTAAACCTTTCTGGACATAATTCATCAGCATCAAGGCTTCAAGATAAACACTTCGATATTTAAATTAGTAATTATTAAGTTTACTAAAAGAAAAGATTAAGGTCAGTTTCAATTACTTTTTTAAAAAAATCCTTAAAAAGAATTTATAACTTTCAAAGGATGTCCACATGTTGTTTTTTGTGAATAATTGGAATCATACATATGTGTCAACCATCACATAAATTTCTCCTATAAAGATTGTACATGTACAAACTTACCGTAGATCAAGGATAAGAGGAATGAACTCGAGCTCATCCAAGTTCATCACGCTTCAAATGGTGCCAAGGCCTCTCACATAGAATAACTTAGACCGTCCGAGGTGGATGAGCTCGGACCACTGTCCTAACTTAACTCGAGCTCGTTCAGGTTAGATCCGACGGTGCATTTATTATTATTTCTTCAATTGCTGTTTTTTTGTGCAACCCAATACCGATGGCATTTTTTTAGTTGTATTAGATATTTAGATTCATCAAGTCTTTATATTTTTATTTTTTTACCGTCATCTTGGAGTCATGTTTAGGTCATGTTTTTTCAATAAAATTACTTAATAAGAAAAAAAATTTAAATTATGATTCATATAGTACAAAAAGTTAGGAAAATGATTTTGATATAACATTTTTGTATTATTTTTTACTACAATCATATATGTCATTTAAATAATTGACTTTTTTATTTATTTAAAATCAATGATATTAAATATATTTACTTATTTAATAATATGTGAATATTATATAAAAAATGTAGTAAAAAAAAGTTATCCATATATCACCCTCCTAAAAGTTACTGTTTTAACATACATATATGATCAAATTAGGTCAACTGAAAACTTGAACAGAGTACAAACAATTTATATCAGAACTAGAGACCAATCTACTACATCTTATTATTTCACTATAGGTTTATATTTCTAGTTTAATTTTTTATAATCTAAACGGTAAAATATTTGTTTTTATAAATAATAGTTGGAGCATTTTTTATGTGAATTTTATTTACAATGAATACAATGATGTATATGGAAAATTAAGTCCAAACAACCATCAAATACTAGAAACTACCTAGAACAATTACCATAGGAAAGCAAACAGCTTTGAGAATACTACTATATTGTGTGTTTGAAGCA